GAGGCGGAGTCGGAGGTGAGCACCCTTTTTTTTAAGGAATCCGTGCCGGTGCCGGAGTTAGAAAAAGAAAAATTTCGGGACCGGAGTCGGTTTTCGGAGGCAAAAAAGTCGCCACCGCTGGGCTCTAGTCGTGACACGTAAGAGAAAGGTGATAGACAGTAGATAGAGATAAAAAAAATCATTGCATGTGTGTTCACATTAGAGAGGTGCATTTTCAGCAAAAATAGCTCCGTCGGACCGAGACTTTGTTCAAAATGCGAGGTGTTCACTAATAGAGGTTTTACTGTATGTATATATTCTTTTCTGTACTACCCAAGCGCGTAAAAATGGGTAAAAAGACGGGGTCCGAAAACTAAAAAAACGGTCCGTAATATTTCTCATTGGGCGGGTCCGCCTCCCATCTGCCACGGGGTGACGGGGTCTGAACAGTTCAAAACGCGGGTATCCCGTATAACTACACGTTCTGCATCGAAGAAATACGAGGTCATGAAAAATGATTTCTTATACCTTCGAAGCGTCGTGTGGTTACCTGTTCTACTCTTAGGCGCCTTGACATGTAAGATTAACTTTTGTGTATGTTCCACCCTAGGCAGTCGTTTTCTGCTCGAAAAACACATTTTTGTGGTAGAAACGCGTTAAATTTTTAAATTTGAAAAAATTTAAAAATTAAATTCAGAATCGAGCTGACGAATACAGAGAGTCTCCATGCTCTCACACGGCCGTCCACGACTGTCTTAAAGTCAAGGACACAAGTTAATGAAGAAAGAAACTAAAACAACTTACTCTGCTGTGACGATGATTCAAACGTGAGTACCTAGAATTAAGAAGCAAGCATAGAACAGGTTGAGCTAAAGATGCTCGAAAGATGACCTGTATCATCTGTAATTGTTTCGAGCATCGATAGCTTATTGAAGAAGACATTCTTTTCTGTTTGCTTGCTTTTTAATTCTAGGACCCGAGCAACTGCTTATTACTCTTGTCTGCAGAGACCTTTCATTTTGCTCGGAGTAAAATAGCTTTTTATTTCCAGTAATAGTGACTGGAAGGCTCGAATGAAAGTAATTTCTGAGTTTCGGTGTTCTATCACCTGTAGGTTCAGTTCTACTATCACCGTGTTCAGTTCCAAAATTGAAGAACTTCTCCAAGAGCTATTTATTATCCATATTTTGTATTTGAATGTTATAGCAACAGCTGAGTCTGTGTAAGTTTTTCGTGTTAATCACTGTGTCTTTGGTAAAAAGGCTTTGCATCTAATCCAGATTGAAAATGCATAGAAATTGAAACGTTTCATCTTACGATATCCCCGACTGTAGAACATACACAAAAGTTAATTTTACATCCTAAGGCATCTAAGAATAGAACAGGTAACGACGCGGCGCTTCGAAGGCATAAGAAATCATTTTTCATGACCCCGTATTTCTTCGATGCAGAACGTATAGTTATACGGGGTGTGAATGAACGGCTAGAAGTACGCCCCGTACTCTTCCACAAGGGAGCGGGTAGAATGTAAATAAATCAGCCTCAGTACGGGGTCTGGACCCCGTATAAAGTTTTGATACGGGTTCAGAACGCGCGTTCTAGAATTTTTTTTAGAACGTAACTTTTTTAGGTACGTTTTTAGAAAAAGGTACCGTTTAGTTTAGGAATTATAAGGCTGCCAACATCACAACTGAACGTATGAAAGAGTAGGTATCTACTCCCATATAACAGTCAAATGAGTTTTCAGAGAGCTGTCTGAATTACCATGACTTTTCGGCTTTCTCTTCGGACCATGATAGTCAGAGATAATGGATGTAAAACAGAAATAAAAATCGTTAAAAGGCTGTTATTATCTGTAGTCAGTAACTTCTTGAAAAAAATGACGTTAAATATAAACATTTTTGGTTTAACATTTTAACATAACATTTTATTTAACATTTTAGAGAGGAGAGAAAGTTTTAGATCCCTATTTTGCTTTAGCTCATGATTTCTCTCGGGATGAATCCAACTTTGATGTCTATTCATATCTGCTTTAGATGAATACACATATCGATCCGAATATATTGAGCAATATACGGGAAATTGTTTTTCTTTATGAATTGTATAGTCTGAACGTGCGTTAAGTTCACCATGCATTAGAAAATTCTGCATATCTTTTTATAAATTTAGTAAAACAGCCCTCATTGTTTTCGTTATACTTTTGTTAAACTTAGGATTTTAGTTATACCTCATTTCTTAGCTCTTTCAATTCTGCACCTTTCTGTATACAAACTGTGCCTAATCTCGGTCTGTAGAAGAAACTATAATTATTTTTACGTGCCACTATAGGAAAACAATAGAGTTTAATACATTCAGGAAGGCTGCTCTAAGCAAAAGCGATGAAATAATAAAAATACTCTGCGAAAAGTTCATTTAATGCAAGAGAAGTTTTGTTTGCTAAAATCTTTCCAGGGGCGCACTAAAAAGCTTTTTAAGGTCTAAAAACATGTTGGGGTTAATCGCGGACAAAAACCACATCAGATCGGTTAATATGAGCTTGATCTGTAAGAGGACCGATATTGCATCTCATCGACCCGCGTCCTTTATCAGCTACGGAGAAACATAAATCAAAACCAATGCATATTTTTTTCCATAGATATACTACTCAAAATGATAGTCATTCAACCAAAAGAGGTTAACTTAGGTAGGTTTACATGATGAGCAGTACCCATATTCCAAGAATTTTAGTTTCTTTTAGAAACTATCGAACTTCGTCGACAAGTGCATCCCAAAAGTTCTTCAAATTCTGTAAAATCGAAAAACTTAGAGCAAATCGCAGCATCCCTTAGATATACACTTCATTTTAACATCATTAATAATTAGAACATAATGATTTGGTGATGATCTAATCCCATAAACTATAGATGATAGGTTATTTCAACTGTACGAACTCCGAAAACAAGCATCTATTTACGGGTCCTGTTCGCTCACTTCAATATTTATTTTATAAAGAGGCTGAAATACTTTATATTTTCCACAGAACTGCTTAGCAATTCTACATACAGAAACAGTATACAGTACTCCTCAGTGGCAGCCAAAAGACGAGGCGGCTTTGGGCTGCTTATGAGTCAAAGACTAGCCAGACACTTCTGCTCATCCGTAAAGATATCTAACCGTACCATGATTGTGCACTTTACAGGCAACCCAGCAACATCCGTAATAACTGCCTATGCACCAACAGAAGACAAAAGCAACACAGAGAAAGACGCCTTCTGTGAAGATCAATGTACCAGCGACGTTTCGCCTCACAATGTCCTAATCTTTGCTGGCGATCTAAATGCAAGATTAGGTGCGAACGGTCACTTGACAAATCCACATGCAATTGGCAGATACACGTTCCACGATACAACCAACGACAACGGCTGTTGTCTAGTCAACCACTGTGAAACCTCCAACAAACGCGCTTTCCACAGGCAAAATCCAAAGCTTGGACCTGGCTGCATGCTAACGGCCAATCCAAAGCACAGCTTGATCACATCCTAATCAATAGGAAGTGGCTCAACTCCATCAGAAGCGTGCGAACAGTAGAGCTAAATTCTGACCATCAAATCGTTAGTACGAAGGTGCAAATCAGCCTCCGAGCTCCTAAAAACAGCAGATGTAAGCACTAAAAGTTTGATTGGAGCAAGTTGTAGGAAAACTTCATCCTACAAGTCCACTTCTCCATCGAAGTTCAAAATCGTTACAAAATTCTGCTAACTGACAATCCGGACATTGGTATTTAAGCAAAGTATGACAACTTCGAAAAAAGCGTAGACGACACTGCAACCAATCTAGTTGGGAAATTAAAGCAGAAGAAACAAAAGAACTGGATCTCAACCAACACAGCTGATCTCTCTAAAAGGAGGAATAAAGCGATGACCACATTCAAGCAAAATCCAAGCGTGGCGACTAAAAATCGCTGGAATGAACTCAACGAACTGTTAGACAGATGTTGCGAGAATGACGAAGTCCAGTTCCTGCAATGACTCCTAGAGATCCGATCTTCACAAAACCCGTAAAAGATTATTTTTGGATTTTCAAAAACCTCACTAATGGAAAGAGCATATTCGAAAACCTATAAAAGATGTGTTCTTAGACTTTCGACCCGATGCTAAAACGAATATCCAAATACCAACGCAAAATTTGCTGCGGTAAAGTGCCTCGCATGCGATTCAGTTTGATCGTAAACTTTTCTGTAGAAAAATATTTTGACTTATATATCATTCAATGTAGTTTTTCACGCTAATTCTAAATATGTCGTGTTTGTTGGAAAACAATGTTTCCGAACCAAGAAAAATGAAAGATACAGAAAAAACGATGGATCTTTTGGAAAACTTGCTGTACGGTTCAGGAGCATTTATGCACCTTTATGCAACCACCATAGATGGAGGACATCTAGATAAACATTCTGTAAAGGTTTCGACGAATCTGAAGTTGGGATGTGGAGGGGGCCATCATTTTACTGAAACTAGTCGTTCGAAAAACACTTAGCATAGAAAGAAATATAGTTTTTCCGAACAGGAAATAGTCACAAGAAAAATTTTTCGTAAATCGATAGAGTGAAAGGTGTAGTTTCAGATTATATAAGAGTTTCTCACTAATATCGTGCACGTTGAACAGTACCTGCTTGTTTTTCAGCGAAGCTCGGTTTTTGAACAAAACTTTCCATAAATATTTTCCAAAAACCTATGGCAATCGGAAGAAAAGCTTTTATACGGTTAAATAGAGCGTATGTCTGACACTATTTCGTTTGACTCGAAAAAGTCATTTGAGGGTGCGGCGAGTACTCAAAAATGAGCCCTCGCCGAGGGCTCGATCCCTCGAAAAATGAGACTTCGGTTCCTCTATATAAGCGTGCGAGGGATTATCGATTTCGAGCCCTCGGGTTTCTGATAGGTAGCGAGCCCTCCCGAAATATTCCGAGCCGTCGAACAGACATATTCCGAGCGCTCTCTCATCCGAGGATCTTGAGTCCCGAATATCTCTATTCGATAGCTTGGAATATTTCTCAAACGGAATATCTCCGTTCGACGGCTCGGAATATTTCGCGAGAGCTCGCTACCTATCTGAAACCCGAGGACTCGAAATCGGTAACTCCTCGAATGCTTATTTCGTGTGTCCGAAGTCATTTTTCGGGAGGTCGAGCCCGCGTCGAGGTCTCATCGAATGCATATTTTCGGACACTCAAAATACCCCCCGAACAAGTGGTTAGGTTATATTTCTTATTTCATTAATCTGACAGCTCCTTTATATTGTCGTTTGATATCGTGAATGTCTAAAATGTTGGTCTCTTGAAGAATTTGTTCATCACCTTTACTTTAGAGGATCACTTAAACTCAATTCAGGAGCATCAAAATTTATTTGAAGTAAAATACAAAACTGAACTTGAAAAACAACAAGAACTATTTGAACAATCACAACAATTATTGGAAAATAAAATAAAACAAAATGATGAAGAAAATAAAGTTATCATAGAAAATTTCGACAAAAAACTTCAACAATTAAAGCGTAAGTAATGAAAGATATTTCGAATTTTGATTTGTCATTCACGTCTTCTCCTTCGTTAGAAAGTCAAATGTCGTCGTCGCAAACAGAACAAGAATTATTTGATCGATTAATAAAAATTGAGCATGAAAAACAGAATAGTCATCTTGAACAAAGATTTAAAATTCAACAAGAGCTATTCGATGAAAAGCAAAAATTAATGGAGGCGATACTAGCTGAAAATAAAGAAAAGTATAAAAATCTAGAAGAAAAACTTCAACAAATAAAACGTAAGTAAAACTCTTATAACCATGTTAGTAACAATATCTCTCGTTTTTTTTTGCTTAGTGAATCAAATTTATTTAATACAACAAATACTACCAATAAATCTGTACAAATTAGGCTTTGGATTTCTTGTTTTTCGTATTTCTTAGATATCAATTGCATTAAATAACTCGTTACACTTTCACAACCACAAGTCAAGTGGTTTTCTGCGACCAGCGAAAAGCTGTATAAAAATATCAAGTAGATAGATAGGTATCATCTGAATAGGCCTGGTACATTTGGATGGAGGATTAGTGGCTGCGTTTTTTTAAAAGATCGACATTTTCCTTCGTCAGTACGAGGAGCTCGTTCTACAGGAGTAAGATAATCAGACGTATGAGCAAAAATTCATCTGTTAAAACAAAAACTAATTGTGTATGCAGTAAAAAAGTCAAAGAAAAAAATAACAAACAGAAACAGAAACACATTTACGCACAAATAAACGCTCAGAATCGACTATCCGAAGGCAAACTTTTTTTTGTCTTCTGGACTCATTTTATTATTTTTTTGTGTTTTGCTTCTTTGGTTTACTGTCTGGTTGGTTGCACAGCCCAATCGTCAAGGGAAATCCATGGCATTGTACCTTCATGATGCTTACCGTGGAAGCAGAAAAGCCGACAGAAGTTCTTAAAAGTCACAAAGCATAGTTGGACTCATATAGTCGAATAATTTTTCAGATTGCTTCAATAATGTTTTCGTTTACTTTGAAATGAACAATTGTATAAACAGCAATGGCCTGTTTCAAGCGGCATTGTGGAATAACAGAACAGTAGTCAAAATAAAAAAAGTGAATATGATAGTTCTGAGCAGAACTTTGAAGTTTTATTTTCAAACGTAACCAAAATACTCAAATTAATTTAGAAATAAATTAATCGTGGTCAGATAAATAAAAATTTCCAGTGATCAAATGTAGGGCTCTGTACGATTTTCATTCGAAGTCTTCCCAACAACTTCATTTGTTTAAAAATTATTTAATTCTCTGAAAGTAAAATGATTGAATCATGGATCAAGAAATAGATATAATTTATTTGTGATTAACTGTTTTAGTAAGAAAAACTCCTTGGCTACAAATACTGTCTCGAGCGGTAGTCTTATAACGAATGAATGGATTTCTGAATCTCTTCAAAATACTCATGAATATTGTATCAATATAAAAATAACCCAAGCATTCAAAGAATTTTCCTTTAACTCTGACTCAGCATATACTCTTTTTCCACCCAACTTAATAGTTTCAAAAACAGTTGAGTGCTTCAATTTTTCCGCTACTATTACTAGTGAAGTATTTGTCATAGTGTACAATACCTATAGGCATTAAATACTATGATAAACCGAACGTTTCTTCTTCTGTTAAGCAGAGCAATTTAAATTTGATTCACATATTACGTCAGTTTCACACAAGGTTGGGCAACTCCGCTGACTTTCAACTCCAACTCCACTCCGTATTCAAATTTCGAACTCCAACTCTCAAATCTCACTCAATTCCAGTTCAACTCCGGTTGCTTCACTTTTGTAAGGAAGATTTTTCGGTTTTGGGCAAGATTCTGAACGTTTTGAGCTTTTTCCGGCAGAAAAGCGCAAAGAACTTCCGAATTCACGCGTGAATCTCAACAAGTTGAGATTTTAGAAAAGTTGGAGTTGGATTTTTGAATTTTTATTGTCAACTTCGTTTTGCATTTTTGAAAATATTCAATAGCTGTAAACTGATCTTCTAAAGGATTGAGTGGCTGTATTCACGCGTGAATTCGGAAGTTCTTTGCGCTTTTCTGCCGGAAAAAGCTCAAAACGTTCAATAAATACAAGTTTCTTATAGATTTTCTTGTAATATTTAAATATATAATTTTGTCGGACGTTTCTAAAGTCATGTTCTACATTCGTATCGATCACTCGAGCACAGTATTATTCAATTTGCCTGAAGAACAATATTGAGATATTGTGTATAACAGAAAGAACATGTGTATATATTCCGGTTGCTTCACTTTTGTAAGGAAGATTTTTCTGTTTTTTGGAGGATTCTGGACGTTATTGAGCTTTTCCGGCAGAAAAGCACAAAGAACTTCCGAATTTACGCGTAAATACAGCCCTCAATCGTTTAGAAGATCAGTTTACAACTGCTGAATATATATTCTGACTACAACTATTGAGTTTATATCACTTAAAAATTATAATCTGAGATGGGCCGATTTTGCCTCTTATCGTCCGTTTTATTAAATAAAGATAAATTTAAAAGCAGCTGCTGTTATTATTTTATCAATTCTAAAGTTTCTACTCCTGAACAGGTTTAATGTATCGTTCTTTTTAATTCAACAACCCAAAAGATTATCGAATTTTAGCCAACCATATCGCGTTTGGCGGAATGTATCGAAAAACATAAGCAACAATGACACATGTTTGTCATATTTTGAACAAATCCCTCCCATTCTCGGTACCAAGAATGTGGGCAATCGATGCGATATTATTTTAAACTTTTTCATGGATATGAGCGCCTCAATGGTATGCTACTTAAAATAATTTCTTATTTGAGATAAAAAATATCGCTACTTTGTTTTAAAGGTCTTTATGAGAGAATATTGTACTGAATAATATCAAAAGCTTTCGAAATAAATCAATTTTGCCGAAATGGCGGCGCTACTGTGAAGTGTAAAATGCATTTATACTAGAAACTTGCGGGCATATTTCCATAATTAAAATTGTTTTCATAACAGTTGTCTGAAACAGATTTTCTAAGAGATCTTTGGAAAATCTTGCCGTCTGTAAACATTTTCCAACGGGATTGTATTGCTTTTTCTCATGGACTGATACCCTCATGGACTGATAGCCTCTTCAAAATGGGGGCAAAGTGAGACCTTGATTTTCCATGGTTCGGGCGTTGTATCAGATTTCCAACGAGTCCCAGCACTGGCACTCGGTGACTATTGGTAGCCTTAAAGACGTATGCGCTATGGGTAATCGACCATGCTGAGTTTCGTGGCAATATTTGTTTTTCTAAACAGTGTCAAAAACTAAGTGAAAAAGTACATTAGGTGAAATATCCCATTTCCGCCTATTTTTGAGTAAAATTCGAAAATTCATAACTCAGTCAAGATCAATCCAAATTATGTCAGAATATCAACTTTACTTTACCCGCTCAATACTATGCCGTTTAACAGAAACGTTAATTGTCACAATAATATCTACATTTTTTTATCACAACTATATCTCAACATTGTTCTTCAGGCAAATTGAATAATACTGTGCTCGAGTGATCGATACAAATGTAGAACATGACTTTAGAAACGTCCGACAAAATTATATATTTAAATATTACAAGAAAATCTATAAGAAACTTGTATTTATCAAGCATTATGGAGTGTTCCGATTCTTTAAATCCAATAGTAGTCTAGTAAATACTATCGATAAAAGAAGAAAAAAAGTACAACAACAGAAAAGAAAAAGTAAATAATGCGATACATTGTTTTGACAATTATATCACTTGTTATATATATATATTGTATATTGTATATATATATATATTGTTATATATATATATACTTCATTATAGAATAATTCAAGTTTTGAGAGAGTTTCCTTCCGAGCCTCAAGAGAAATGTGTAGTTGATCCTGATGCTTAAACTAATCATTTTATGACAAGTAAGTTTTCATGGAATATTTATGTGTGTTTCTCAGTGTCGAGCATCTACAACAATCGGTTCATGTTTACTGAAAATAACGAGAAAACTAAAACAATGCACACAATGGAATGTTGAGCAAAATTGATTATTATGAAATTTTACAAAAAGCTTTTGCATTAATACAAGTAACACATGTTAAGAAAATAGTGGCAGTTGTGCGATTTAATTGCTTATTAAAAGCTCGTTTGATTATTGCATATTACTTCGTAGCTCATTGTTGTACGACAGAGCTAGAAACATACAAAAAATTAAACATGTAGTTTCTCATTTAATACGTGACAAAGAAGGACAACTAGAGTTATATAGTGTACTATAGAGAAACGGTTACACTTTTAGAACTATCGAACGCCGATAAAACCCATTCCATTTTTTTGGGAACGTGCTCTTGACCATTCTTTTATAGAAACGTTTTTTCGTGGGATGTACACAGAAGCAAAAGCAGATCAGAAAGAAAGAAAAATGGCATAAAAGAGAAAGAAGAAAACGACAGCCTTTGATCTCCACGGTTGAATATAGCGTGATCCCTATAAAAAAGATTTAGTATGGTAGGGTCTGTTGACAAGCTTGCAATTCAATTCCAGCAGACAAAATTCTCACGAGCAGACTGTGCAGGTCTGTACGGAACATCGTGGTAGACCTTGGAAGACTTGCAGCAGACACTGACACATACCTCTGCAGATTAAATTTACTTGATATATGCTTCCAACAAAGATTAAGCGTTTTTCTGAAAGTTTCTCGTTTGTCATAAATCAAATATGTATACTTTATGTCAGTTTTTCTATATTCTACGTTTAACAATAGATGGTGATTAAAACAATTTCATATCATCAGATAATACCGGTTAAATATACAAACCAATTAAGTCAAGTACAGCACAGAAAAGAATATGTACATACATGTTCGTTCTGTTATACAATAGTTCAGTATTTTGCTGCAGCTGAGTTTTCACCATTCGTAATAAGTCCTGTTCCACTACTCGGAGATGGTGAGTTACAAATGAAAGGCTCATATTTACATTAAAAATGTCGCATTGTGAGTGTGGAAAAGTACAAGGAAATATCAACTTTCCTCTTCTACTTTCGCTAATCAGTTTTAGATGTGTCTGTTTATCTGGGTGAGTGTTTGTCATTTTCTCTTGATCAAGTCGAGACGGTAGGTATAGGCGTAGAAAAGAAATTTATTCTGTGTACGGTCACTGTACAGCGCACTTCTGGCTACCAGAACCACATTCTCTCAAATTTTTAAAAAATAATGAATTTCTTTTGCTATATAGTTCGTAATCGTGAACACTTAACTGACATCTGATATTAGTTTCGAAACAGAGATGTGCAGGGTACCCTGTACCCTACCCTATGCTGCAGAATAGGTTAAGGTAAGGGTGCGAACTTTGAAGCGTAGGGTAGATTGAGGGTGTGAAGCTCACAGGTTAAGGTAGGATAAGG